CCAGATCCTCCGTGGCCCTGAACTCCAGCTGCTGCTGCTGCTGTTGAATACCAGGCCAGTCTGTACAGGTAGTCCTCACTTAACAATGGTAATTGGGACCAGAATTTCCATCACTAAGCAATGCGGTCATAAAGCGCAATGTCATGTGACTACCTCACTTAGCGACAGCAATCCCGGCACTCCCCATTGCCATCATTAAGTGAGGATTATTAAGGAAATTCCAGGCAGCTTGCAAGCAGGCTGGCAGGCAGATAAGTGGCTGCTGCCGGGCAGGGGAGGATGCACAGGTGGCCCACGTGGCGCGAGTGTGGCAGGTCTGGGGGTGGCTGCTGCTGGGCAGGGGAGAGTGCAAGTGACTTATGACCTACCTTGCTGGCTTCCCTGTTGACTTTGCTTGTGGGAAGCCAGCAGGGAAAGTTGCAAGTGGTGATCATATGACTGTGGGATGCTGCAACCATCGTAAGTGTGAGCCAGTTGCCAAGCACCCAGATTGCAATCACATGACCATGGGGTTGCTGGCACGGCCGGAACTTCGAGGACCGGTCGTAAGTACCACTCGTTCAGCACCATCATAACTTGCTGAACGAATGATCATTAAACAAGGACTATCTGTAATAAATCTGTCCTCATCCATGATTTGATTGTGGATGAGGCAGCTGACCTGGGTTATGTTATCCAAACTTGGCTGGGCCAGGAAATGTGCCCACCTGGGTTTAAGGTTTGGCATCAGCCATGACTCCAAGGGAGGAGAGGTGGGGTTGCAGTTTTCATCCGCAAGTCATTATGGGCTTTTAGAGGCTCTGCCCCACAGATAACCAGGTGTGAAACTCTGGTTGAAGTTGGCCTCCAGGGAACAGATGTGATTGTTGCTGTTGTACCGCCCTCCATGTTGTACAGCATCTTCTCTGCCTCAGCTGCTGGATTCCATTAGTAGGCTGGTGGTTGAGGCCCTGAGGTTACTGGTTCTTGGGGACTTCAATTTACTACCTAGTGATGTTGAGTCTGGGGCAGCTCAGGAGCTTATGGCCATCATGACAACCATGGACCTGTCCGAAGACATATTGGGCATGACACATAACAGGGATCACATACTAGACCTGGTTTTTGTCTCAGGGCAGATGAGATGTGATCTGGTTCTGGAGGACATTGTTATTAGTCCATTGCTGTGGTCAGATCACTTTCTGATTGCTTTTTGGCTTGCTGGTGCCAATCTACCTTGTAGGGCCTGTTAGACTGGCCTGCCCCAGGTGACTGTTGGACCCGGGTGATTAAACAATCATCTTACAAGATTCAGGAGGCGTGCCAGCTCTATTGCAGTGCCTACCTTCTGGAACAATATCCCCCCAGAGATTCCTGCAGTTCCCACCCTTATAATGTTTAGTAAATTATTTAAAACCAGGTTGTTCTCCCAGGCCTTAGGATAGGTTGGTTTTGGAGTTCCCTTTAGTTATGTTTGATTATAGCCGAATGTTTTGTCCTTGCGGTTGATCACAATTTCTTTTTTCCTTTTTTATTTGTAAGCCACCCAGAGTCATCAGGGAGTCAGATGGCCTTGGAATTGGATTAAAGAAAATAAAAGTGATACTTCAAAATTTAAAATTCTTTCCCAAATGTAGCCTTTCCATTCATTTCTGTGAATTTGATCTTTTTCAGTTGACACAATGGAAATCAGCAGCAGAATTGAATGTATATTTTTCAGTGAATTCCATCCAACACTGGGACCTAAAATAACATATCAGGTCAGTTGTGCAAAAGTTATCTGTCTAGTTTGTTATTTTCTGCGCTGATTGGTGGCTATTGTCCAAGATTTTAGGCAAGAGGTGCTTCTTCCTATCCTTGACTGGAGTTGAAGCTGAGACCTTCTGCATTCATCAAGTGTATCCGAGCTTCTGATCTTGCAGCTGCTTGTATGTTTTTATTTCTGATTGTGTATTTCATTTTTGCAGTGGTGGATAAAGTGTTTTCCCACCTTTGTTTGAAAAACATGTTGCCATAGCTTAAAAGACAGGGCTTCCGTAAAAGTTAAGGTCATTATTTTTTTATCTGCTTGTCTATTAATTATTTGCAGTTGTGTCTTGTTCCTGCAGGTACCAGAGGATTTTATTTCCCGAGAGCTGTTTGATACAGTACAGGTATATATCATCACCAAACCTGAACTGCAAAATAAGCTTATCACAGTGTGAGTATTATGCAGGAGTAATGTAAGAAAACCCTTGCTTGATAAAAAAAAAAAAATGCTCAGTATTTTGGGTGTTGGTAAATGCCAAAGAAGTTATATACTAAATGTTCTCTCTCTCTCTTCTCCCCCCCCTCCAATTCCACAATAACCAGCACAGCTATGGAAAAAAAGCTAATTGGTTGCCCAGTTTGCATTGAACATAAGAAATACACCCGGAATGCCTTGCACTTCAACCTTGGCTTTGTTTGTGATGCTAGAGCTAAGACCTGCGCACTGGAACCTATTGTGAAGAAATTGGCAGGTTACCTTACTACTCTGGAGGTTAGAAATAGTCTAAATACGCTATCCTTCATTTCTGCTTTCAGAAGTGTGTACAGATTTTTATTATGTTTAATATTATATTATATTTTATTTCCACCCATCTCACAAATGAAACTCTGGGCAGCTAACGACACATTAAAAACAAGAAGAAACAATATTAACATGGGTTAAAGCCTACAGTGGTCGCCAGTGGTAAAGCCAGACCAAACCATCAACAGAATCTTCTAAACAAGCCATCTGATCTCCCAGCCCCAGGCCCTGGAGCACATCCAGGTCTTCAGTGCTTTATGAAAGGCCAGCAGGGTCAGAACCAATCTAACCTTTGGGATATGGTGTCCCAGGCAGGCAGCAGACACTGTGACAGAAAAGGCAACATGGAAGCACCCTTGTCTTCACTCTTACTTTTTTCTCTAATGCTTAGTCACCTGGGTTTTTTTTTTTAAGCACTTTACATCTTGTGTGTAAAGTGGCATCTGATGAGCTTGGAAAGGTTTTTGTGCGATGAATATGGACTGTCATAGGTACCTCTTAGCTGCCACGATCAGAGCTGTCAACAGGCGTTTCACTTCCAGTCCTTTGCCAATATACTCTGGAAGTTTTGGGGGGAGATTATATAGTCTTGTTAAGACTTGTAAAATGTAACTCTGTTTGTTTTTCTGCATCTGGTTGAAAAGAAATAGCACACAGCTGCTGTATTTCCTGCAGCAAAGTTGTGCTATTCCAAAAATATGCTTTAAACATTTATGCTAGTTTCCTGGGGGGAAACAAATTCCTGCTTTGTGCTGTAAAAGTCAAACAGCTTTTTTTCTTCTTTCAAGACCATTCCTCTGCAAACCAGGATCTCTTACTCCTATTCTTTCATCCCCCTCTATGTCTGTAACAATGTTATATATGATGCCCTAAGAGTTTAAGTCTATTTTTGTGTTTTAATTTTATTATTGCTGTGAAAAATATGCTCAGGTATGTTTATTTGAATGAAGAAGTCGTATTTTTAGTGGGGCACACAGTAAGGTGACACTTCGATTGTGACTGATCATCAACTTTGCTCTTTCCTAGCTTGAAAGTGGTTTCATTTCCAATGATGAGAGCAAGCAAAAATTGATACCCATCATGACCATCCTGCTTGAACAACTGAATGCTACTGGCAAATGCACTCTGCCTATTGGTATTTTCACCAAACGTTGTTGCAAAATTTATTTGGGAAATGAGCATATTAAAATGCAGGGTTGTGATTCTTGGGGAGATGAGAACTGCACAGCACATTTAGAACCGAAGAACGTTTATTATTTGGTGCTGCCTTCTCCATATCTGTATCTCAATATGAAAAGGTAAAGTAGTATAAGAATATGGTTTTGCTCAACAGCAAGAAAAAGTGGGAAGTGAAATCCTGTTCTGATGTTCTTGAGCATATACTGTGGTTTTTATTTACTTATTGGGTGGGAAGGGAGATGTCATTTCCCAAAGCAGTCTTCTCCAGCCTAGTGCCTTCCAGTTTGACTCCAAAATTCTCAGCCATAACCACTGTTTGGATCAAGGGTCCACAAAGTACCAAGAAAAGCTGGATGTTGGTCCTTTAAAGCGAGTTCTTGCTATTCTTTAGAAATATTTATTAAGAGTAAATATTTCTTATTTATTAAAGAAAGGATTCATTACTTCAATAAAGTATTGACACCTTTATTTTCCTGTACTCTGGCTCTTATAAATTGGCGTGACTAAGGAAAAGACATTGTCCTTGGTATTTTTGCATAATTTGAATATTCTCTCAATTCTGGACTGTCACTCATTGGGGTTATCTAATTACCCTCTGGTTTTGAAAATTGCTGTACACTCAAGACTAAAACTTAATCAAGAGTGTGGTTGTAATGTGAGCACTCCCATAGCAGACCCAGTCTGATTATGCCAGTGTTGTCCAAACTTGGCCACTTTAAGATGAGTGGATGTCAAC